AGGCCCCATCACAATGGGTAATGCAGTTTACACGGATCAGGCAGTCTGCTACAACACAGTGGAAGCATGTGAGCGAGTACAATAATACGATTTCTTCGCTATTTTTGTTTACTTCATATACGCCCACTTATTTACATGTTTTTGCAGTTGTCTTGTATTTTTCAAACAATACACATTCTGGTGTTTTGTCATGAAATTTACAGTTTATGATTAAATACCCTCACCCAACTGGGGGATATATCCCTACCTTGGGGATACATCCCCAACCTTGGGGATGTATCCCAAGGTCCTTCGGTCATCCGTCTGTGGTGTGCATAGTTTTTAGGCAGAGCGACAAACGCTGAACCAAGTCGTCTCTCCACCACTTCGATACGTAATCTTGAATTTGCAGGCAAAGCTGTATGTCAAAATGGCGAGTGTGTGTTCGCAGACAAATGCAATGGAGCTGAGAAGGCTTACCTCTGTCTACCAATTGACTTCCGATTTATTACGTGAGTTTTCTCATTACTCCTTTCTGTTACGATAAATATAGGTTTTGTTTATTGTGAACGTTGTAGATAGTATGCATAGGTTTATTAAATAGAAAGCGAGAAGAGAAGATTGATGGAAATGGACTGATTAGGCGTCAGAGGGAACATTCCAGCAGGTAGTATGGCTTACGCTTTATATAGTCTAAAGGTTCGATTCGGCAAAGAGCTTTATTCTATCATAAAGAAGTGAAAGTGGGACTAGTGGAGAAAAAGAAAAAAACTGCTGAAAGCTGGAATTAGAAACCTACTTCTTTTTGTAGGGCTGGAGATTGATTCGAGAAAAGGAGAGAGAGGGAGGATGAGAGGGTGTATCCTACGAGAGGCGGACAGACCCTGACTGCCATTGTGAGTGCCAGTCACAGTGGACGCTGCCAAAATGGGGTGGACTTGGCGCTATCATCAGGTACTTTCAGAGCACGGAGAGCTAGGGTCTTGTTGTTACATCTTTTGTATCTGTGGCTAGCCCAATCTTACTCACAAGAGCGACTGGTCCATTCAGCTCATTTGGGGATGTGCCCTTGAGTATCAGTAGAAAAGAACATCTTCACGCGCCCTCCTCTCCGTATTCATCGTCAGGTTTATAGACAATGATAGGTGGCCTAAGCAGCAACTGCAAAGCGTCCTCGTTGGGCGGGCCGCGCTGCTACCACGCGCTCAGCAGACTGGCTATTTCGCAAGTGTTACTACACTGGTGTGCAAAACTTAAGGACGAGACAGATGAAGTATCATAACCTTTTGATAGCTTTGTGGACCGTTTAACGGTTCCTGTTAACTGCTTTCTTTAGTGCCCTGTGGCAGCTCTTTGTATGTGTGGTTAGGTTCCATAGAGTCATGTTACGCGCCAGTAACACGTCGTTGGAAAAGCTACGTTCGTCCCTAAGTTTTGCACACCAGTGTATTTGCTTCCATCATTCGTGGCTTGTAGACAGCCGACGTCTAGGTGAAACTCGGGTTCGGGGGGCACGCGATGGCGCGGCGCTCTGTTGCGTCTGCTCCTCCAGGGCTTAGTCCACAGGGACAGTTACTCTTTCGCCATTATGTGGCAGTTTCAAAATACGCCATCGGTGACTAACAAGGGAAGGATGGTAGGTCGAAGTGGCCGTATAAAATGAGATGTATACCACCTGATGCTCCTAGACGCTGATTCCAAATCTGCCTTCCAAATCTGCTAAACGGCTCTCCGAACGGAGTTATGAAGCGTAATAGCTCAGTGGTGATGGTCCGGGGTGGCAGGTAAAAGCTCGTAGGATCGGTTCCTTTGCAAGTTTGTTGCTTTGCTTTTGTCCGCAACACTTCTAGAGACAAAAGCAAAGCAACCAATTTGCAAAGGAACCGATCCTACGAGCTTTTACCTGCCACCCCGGAACCATCACCACTGAGCTATTACGCTTCATAACTCCGTTCGGAGAGTCGTTTAGCAGATTTGGAAGGCAGATTTGGAATCAGCGTCTGGAGTCGCATCAGGAGGTATACATTTCATTTCAAACGGCCACTTCGACCTACCATCCTTCCCTGTAAGCTTGGTAGAAGCAGACGACAGCTCCGCGCCATCGCGTGCCCCCCCCCCCTCACCGAACCGGGTTTCACCGACGTCTACAAAAACGCATACCCATACTGTGACCCAATAATGATCATTATTTCAGGTGGTTGATGTTCAGCTGTTTCCTTATTGTGTTGTTGGTATGTTCGTCGTTGGTCGCCTGCTATGTGTGTCGAGCGGCTCGTGCTTCAATTCGATGGCAAGCCGCTCACACTCCTCACCATGAGGTCGTGTTCAACAATCCTGGACGCATTCATCACATCGAACTCGAAAGCGGTCGCCACAAAGTCGTTCCGACTCAGCGACGCTAACGCATTTTCTTCTCTTCGTCTCTCTGAATGCTCTCTATTTTTGTGTGTGCGCCTTTCGCCTCTCCCTCACAGACTCACTCTCGCACGCCTACATTGTATCAAGGGTCAACCATTGCAGTACAAATGTACCTTGAGAGCGTACAAATTTCGAAATTTCTATATACTGAAAAAGTTCTTGGACTTCCTCGAGAGCCCTGAAAATTTCTGAAGAAAAATCTCTCAAAAATAGTGCCACTTCCACTCAATATGACCTCTCCTCTCGACGAAGAAAGTGGTTAGGAAGAACGAAGAATTCTTTAACTTCCGTCCACAGAATGACCCTCGGGTCTCATCCAGTAAGGGGGGGGGCATGTGGTGCGACAGTTCATATTGCATGAAGTAATCCACTTTTTTCAGGGGAGGGAAGCTCCGGGGTGGGTGTAAAAGTTCAAGCGAAATGGTTCACGCACTCCCTGCATAAGTTAGAATTCTGTAGCCGGCAAGAGCTGTCACACCACATGCCCTCCCCCCTTACTGGATGAGACCTTAACCCTGTACCCCTAAAACTACCCACCCATTCCGATGAATTGCCAAGCGAATGGTTGAGCCTACCCCCTGTAACCTGAGCCTAACTCTGCCATATTTTTCCTGAATGTTATCCACCTGTTTTTCCAGGCCACCACCAACGGAACGTCGTGACTTCGTGCGTTGCTTCGGCGTGCCCCATTGCCTTAGATTACTGGTTGATGATGAATTGTTATGAAAATTGTACAGTTTTTTTGTAGTGAATGTTATTTGATTATATCAGTTTCTTTCTCCCGTTCCATGGGGAAATCAAATGCTAAAATGCATGAGTAATTTGGCTGAATAAATTATCTATTGAAATTCTTATTTGTTTAAATCATCTTGATTGTTCTAGGCGAATCCCGTTGGGTGACAAATGCCGTAGAGGAAAGGCCAAAGTTGGACGTGGCGGTTGTAGGGGGGGGGGCGGCAGAGAGGGATGGTGCACTGTCGCTTGATAACGCAAGAAAGCTTGATGTTGTTATTCGGATGATGACGGGAATATTTAAAAAAAAAGGTTCAAGCGGGGAAAGGGCGGAGGAGGATGTGTTGAGGGCGAGGGGGGAAGAACGGTGAGTACTCTAAGCCGGGTGTCCCCAAGAGGCCCGTCGCGCGGCGAAGGAAGAGACGCAGACGCGGCAAAGGACGAGTCGCAGCGCATACTGTAGCGGTTAGGCGTCAGGTTAAATAGAGTGTACCATACTACGTCTCATATCGCACAGCACGCGCTGCGACTCGTCCTTTGCCGCATCTGCGTCTCTTCCTTCGCCGCGCGATGGGCCTCTTGGGGGACACCCATCTTAAGACAGTGGCCATAACTAGCGACAATTTGCGCTTTGAGCATAGAATGGATGCTCATGAACAAGCTTCTCCACGACCGACAAAACCGCGAAGTTTGTGACGTGTGTGGCGTCTGCTATTAGGAGGTGCGTGCCAACAGTATCGTTCTTATCCCCGCGCTTCTGCTTGACCGCGACGTCGCAACTGCAATGCTGAAGTGGACGAGTTTCAGTGTGCGTCATCCGAATTCAAGTTTTAATGGGACACCAAACAGCCCGTGTCCTTAACAGTCAACTTCGATCGATGCGCGTATAATTTCAATTCCTCGGACTTTCCCCTTGACACGTTTTTCAGTACTGCGACAATGAACTTCGAAGACGAGGAAAAGGACGATCGCTCTCCGCTGCTAGTAGTTTATTTTCCTTCATTGTTGTTCAGTCATCAGATCCCCATGGGGTAACACAATTGCATACATTGTTTGATTCCTGCAAAGCACTGTATGGGGGCATGCATAGTCGGTTGTCCGACAGTAACGATCGTAACGGTTGTACGGTCGTAGGTGTCGCACAAACCGCGGTGGCATAGGCTGTTTTCATAGTTTCGGTCCGTGCGGACCGTGCGGAGAGCACGGACAGGGTGAAAAACGTCAACACGCGCTCTGGCGCACGATGCGTACTTGGCGCGCAGTCGGCGCCTTCCTCGATCGATAATGCTAATTTCGATACATTTTTTCTATATTTTGACGTTTTGTGTGCCGTTTTGCTTTTTCTTGCGGTTGTTTAGCTCAAAACTTTTCCTTTTTGTATGGATTACTGCTTTTGCTTACTAATGAACCTCACTTGGGGCTTATTGCCACTTTCAAACACACTGTATGAACCTAACCATTCTAGGACAGTTGAAAAGCAATGATTCACACGAAAAAGAAAAAAAAAATCGTAAAAAAACGGAAGCAACTTAATTCAGGAGGGCCGACGCGGCGAGGAACGCATCGTTTTGTACTCCTTCTGACTAGTAAAGGACGCCATTCGTTACGGGTCCCACTGCCTCCTGCTACAGTGAACCCTTCAATGTGGAGCGGGGAATCCGTGAGCCAGGGGCAGTGTCGCCAGTCTAGGGGGGTGGGGGGTGAGGGCAGACACTTGACATGCGTGAGAAGCTGGAATTCGAATTCAACCGCGATCACATGGGATCCCCGCGGGTTAAGGCAGTGGGTCCCGCAACGAATGGCGCCCTATACTAGTCAGTAGGAGTACAAAATGATCACTCCCGCGGCGGCGCGGCAGTCTGCTCACCTGGGCTCTCTCGAGCGAGACAGTGTAAACTCGAACATTCCAGCTTTTCACGCATGTCAAGTGACTGCCCCCCCCCCCCACCCCCCTAGACTGGCTACACTCCCCCTGGCCCACGGATTTCCGAACATGCCAGGGCGAGCAGACTGCCGCGCCGCCGCCCGCCCCCCCCAACAAGGGTCAACCCTACGTTGGTACAAGTACCAACGGGGGTCGTACTTGGTTTAGCTTGGAGGGGGGGGTCGTATCCGCTTCAGTTTGTGGTGAAACTCGAGTTTCCACGGAGTAGTAGGCTAGGTGAGAGTGGGAGCGCACGGGGAGAAAAATTCGCCGTTTCAGCCCCCCCCCCCCCCCGCTCGACGGCATTTTTGGAGGAAAAAGTGGGCGGAGTTTGGTGGGTTGAGTGGTATCAGAATTAAATACTATAGAGAGGAATATGGTGGTCGAGGTGTCGAAAAGGGGGTCGTATCAAATCCACCTTGGGGGAGGGGGGTCGTAAAAAATTTTCAAAAGTAACAACGATAGGACTGACCCTGCCCCCAACTAAGTTAGCCAATCCAAAAAAGGTTCTTATCAAAAAAACACGAGCAAAAGCAACACGGCACAAGGAGCACCTGAAAACAAAAATAGAATGTAATGAAATCGAATTTATCGATTGGAAGGCGTCGACTGGCTTTTGCTGTTTTTTTGGCGAGAACCTTTTTTCTTTTTCGTGTGAATCATTGCTTTTCAACTGTCCTAGAATGGTTAGGTTCATACAGTGTGTTTGAAAGTGGCAATAAGCCCAAGTGAGTTCATTGTGTAAGCAAAAGCAGTAATCCATACAAAAAGGAAAAGTTTTGAGCTAAACAACCGCAAGAAAGAAGCAAAACGGCACACAAAACGTCAAGACATAGAAAAAATGTATCGAAATTCGGGTTATCGATCGAAGAAGGCGCCGACTGCGCGCCCAACAACGCGTGTCGTGCGCCAGAGCGCGTCTCGACGTTTTCACCCTATTCCGTGCTTTCCGCACGGTACCGCAACGGACCGCTAACGGATGGAACGCATCCACATGGGCGACGTGGTCACCCAAGGCAAACCCAGACAACACGTGATTGCGCGTCATGGCGTTTTAAATTCCGATTGTAGTGCGGAAAAGTGGCTGCGTATTGATCCTGCGACACATACGATCGTCGCTCTCGGACGACCGACTACATATGCATGTGCTATGAAACAAATACTCATGTAATTGCCAGCATGTCACTAGATGAAAGCCGAACGCATAGCCCATTCCCGGCGGGCTGCCGCAGTCGGCGGCGCGGTGCACCAGTCGTTTGCCTCTTCTCAACGGACTGACTGTGGGACGCATCGTTTTGTACTCCTACTGACTAGTAAAGGGCGCCATTCGTTACGGGTCCCACTGCCTCCTGCTACAGTGAACCCTTCAATGTGGAGCGGGGAATCCGTGAGCCAGGGGCAGTGTAGCCAGTCTAGGGGGGTGGGGGGTGAGGGCAGTCACTTGACATGCGTGAGAAGCTGGAATGTTCGAATTCAACCGCGATCGCTTGGGATCCCCGCGGGTTAAGGCAGTGGGTCCCGCAACGAATGGCGCCCTATACTAGTCAGTAGGAGTACAAAATGATTACTCCGTGACTGTGTCGCCCCTTCCCCCTCAAGTACATGGTTGATCGAGAGTGTGAGGATGTACAAAGAACTGTCTATAGCGGTGAAAGTGTGAAAGCGTTAGCTCAGAATGCCCGTTTAAGAGCCAGTCTTTCTAACCATGCGCCAGCATACTATATTGACGTCATTCATACGTTTGGCAGTGTCCACATCGATCGCGTTGCGAGCACGTTCCACACCGCCGCAAAGTATGAAAGAAAGCTTAGATTCGTTGACATCCAGTTTTCAAGAGAAGTAGTAACGGCGTAGTGTGGCACGTGGAGGGGAGGGGGGCACTCGCAACATCGCATGAGGTTTACGGAAACGCTCAGTTCAGGACTAAGCCTCAGAGGAGAAGAGAGACTCCGGGGATGCGTGTAAGCAATTCTCTTTGACTCCGAAGTTCACCCCTCCATGGGCATAGTTTCGGGAACCTTCCCGCACACTGAACCTCTCTTCTTCCGAGGCACATTGCGGCTAGTGGTGCGCCGACTTTATGATCTTCCGTGAATGATATCGATATTGATCTGATCAGTGAAATCCATCACTCCTCTGCGTCCTTCCTCTCCTTTTCGCTGCACTCATTCTGAGTTTTTTTGAAAGTTGCACACGTTCAAAAGTGGTTTTCAGGAGTCATCGTAGTTTCATATGGAGAAATCTGATAACTCAAAGCAAATGGAGTTGAGAATAATTGACGAAAACAGTATCTCAAGTTTTGACGACAAACAGAAGACAGGTACGAACTTACTGATCTTGTCTTTTATTTTTATTTGGGCTCTATACAAGTGGGGTGGGCACGCCCAGCTTTTCACGCATGTCAAGTGACTGCCCTCACCCCCTAGATTGGCTACACTCCCCCTGGCTCACGAATTCCCCGATTCTCGTGACAGTATAGTAGCGGGCAGCAGTCCCACTTACATTTCTGTTCAAAAAATGCGGCGTGCCCACCCTACTTGCATAGCTTTTCTTTATTTATTTTTTGTCTTGCACTATCTCAGGGCTACTATTTGAATCCTGATAGTGTATTGTGTAATTGAAATGTGCGAATTTATGCGTTATCACTCATATTTTGGTGCTATTTACTTCGAGACTGCTGGGGGCTCTTACTTAGACCCGCCCATAGATCGCGATTGTTGCGATTTGACGATTTGGCGATTTAGCGATTGTGTTGAAAGAAATGTGTGCGGATCGACTGAAGGGCCGTCGACAAATCTCATCGATGAATGGTTATTGGGCAGGGTCAGTCCTATCAATGTGCACCTACCCTCGCCTTCAAATAACCAGAAATTGTGCAATTGCAGAAATTGACGTGGCATTAACGTGGCATCGATTCAAGAACATCTTTGAGCACACGTGTGTGCCACGTGGCTAAATTCTCGATGAAAAGGTGACATCACGTGTGCTCAAAGATGTTCTTGAATC